TTTTTCTCAGTCGTTGCTGCTGCTGCTGCTTTATTTATTCTTCTACCAACTCTTTTCATTTCCTCTTCGTAGGTCTCTGACAAAAACCAATGGATTGAACTTGGAGAAGACTTCAACTTTCCCAGGGGTTGCTCCAACGCCGCGTTTGCTTTAAAACAGTACTACCTTCGGTGAGTAGCGTGGCCGTGCAGCTCCGTTCTCTGAGCTACCATGTGGAAAGTGTTTACAAATGCAGTCGGCAGGATTGGCCTCCTCCTGCACTCACCCAGGATGCTGCTGCTGCTGCTGCTGCTGCTGCCGCCTTCACAGAGTGCTCACTGTGACCTGAGGTAGTCCCAGGTTGTGACCTGTTCTACCTGCGTCTGTACTGTCAGTGAGCCACTGGTGGACTAGATGTTTCCTTGACCAGTGTTGAAGCAGCCGAGGATGATTGACATTGTTGCGTCACCTTTGTCCGCTGGGTCCCTGTTGAATTTGTGTGAATTGGCCCCTGAGTGTTGGTGTGCAGGAGAGGCAGCAGGCATCGAACCCTCTCAGTGATACTTTTACAGTGTGAGATGTTTAAGGCCCACGTGAATAAAAAAGTTGAATTAAATTAATTTACACCTGCTTGAGAGAATCAGATCAAATGAAATCCACGTCAGTCCAACCGACTGTTGTTATACTGCTGTAACAACAACAGCCGACCCCACCTGACCTTTCTGGATCCAGACAGTGGTGTTGGTACCCTGTAGCCTGTAGGTGGTGCTGCAGCTAATACATGTTTGTGTGATTTTGGCAATGAATGAACATTTAAAAACTTAAAAGCAGCTGTGGTACTTTCTGTTGAACAGTTTTTACACCAGTGAGAGTGAAGTAAACTTGATAATACTGATGCAGTCGGACAGACCCCACAGCTGGGGCCGTCCTTCTGTCCGACAGCTTGTGTTTGTGGTGTCGGCGTTACAGTTTTCTTGTGGTGACTCTTCAGCTCACACACTGATTGTTCCCATCAGCAGCACCTGCCTGTGAGGGATTACCCCCCAAGGTGGGGAGATGCTTGTAGCTCTCATGGATATTTTAGGGACAGTGGCAGGTTGTGTATGTGGTCTGCCAGTCCTCCAACTGTTGTGTTCAAAGACCAAGTGCAGCAGTGTCGGACTGGGAGGATGTGGAGCACATGTGTGCCTTCAGCTAATGAACCTGCTGCACGGAAGCTTACGCTGCCCCAGGCTGCACTGGTGTACAGTGGGGATGACTGAACAGTTGTGGTCTGAGGCTGAAGGAACTCCCAGCTGCTGAGACGGCGCTGAGGTTCAGCCGTGTTGTGTTGTTACTCTGGTCGCTCTACGTTTGAATAAAAGTGCCTTCAGAAAAGTTTCCTTTCAGGCTGTGACTGGTCCCAGAAAGTTCTTCACTGTAGGATCATGGTGTCTGTTCAGGCTGGTTCAGTAGAAGAGCAGTTCAACCTCGTTACCCAGGTGTTAAATACATGATAGGAAATCTGGACATCTGGTCCACCGCTGGTACTGTCTGCTGCACCAGTACTGAAGGCTATAAGACGGTGTGTGTTCAAACCAGGGCTCTATATTGTCCAGAATGACACGATACAGGGCAGCGATACAATGTATCACAATATACTGTGATACTACAGTCAGGACCCAGTGTAGCTGTAGTCCCAGTGTGATCCTAGTCCTAAATGAACCAACACCAGCAATGTTGGACTGGGAATTGGTGATGGAGGAGGAGATTGATACGGGATCAGTGTATCAATATTTTTAGACTGCTAGTTTAAACTGTGTCTCATTCAGTCAGTGAACATGTTGATGGTCTGTTGATGGTCTGTTGATGGTTCTACAGAGCTGAGTTCAGATTTAAAATATCAGGTATTTGTTCTTCTCTTCTTTAGTTTATAACATTTGCTGAGCAGTGATCCTTGTTTGAATAGTTCTCAGTCAGAGAGGTCAGAGGTCACAGTTGGTCGTACACTAGGTGTCACTAACGGACACTTCTCCACTGCAGTGCAGGAGGAGGATCGTGGTGTGACTCTCAGAGCTGGTTAATCAGCAGTTTGGTGTTAGCTCATGCTAACATCTCAGTGTAGCTGGCTAATAATTGAGCAACATTAACCAGAAACTTTTGCCCCAGTCCTTCACTAACTCGGTGAAGTGCTGCTCAGACAGCAGGATGTCCATCCGTCTGTCGGAGCAGAAGTTCATCCTCCAGCTAGCACTCATCTGTGAGCTGATGGAACTGTTGATCTGTGACACATGGATCCAGATCCTGGACTGGTGTCAGAGAAGCTGTGACCTGTGACCTCTGACCTGACAACATCTGTGGATTAACGTTAGAAAACCTGGATGATGTCAGTGATGTCATGTTGTTGTGCTGTCTGATCTCAGTCAGTGACACTGCTGTCTGTGAATGATACTGACTGACTGACAGGGACCCTGTGTCTGTAGACTGACGGGCAGCATGTGTCCCAGGAGCCGTGGTTTGTGAACCCTGCAGCATTACTTTGTTAGAAGGGTGAGTTTAGACCAGGTTCTTGACGTCTGTGGACCAGTAGACCTGGACCTGGTGGACCAGATGTATTTCAGTCACTTCCCTAATGCAGTGGGATGACTTCCAGTTTTGTCTTCTGTCTGGACCAGATGATTTAGGGGGGGGTCAGGATGGGGGGGGGGGGGGGCACTGTTAACACTGTCTCAGTTTACAGTTGATAAAGTAAAACGTTGTTTCCATCTGATGTGGATCGTTAATAATCAACAGTCGGAGTGAGTCCATGACTGACAGTCAGGTTGTCCTCTGTTACACTGTAGTCAGTGGACAACCATCGTCCACTGTGGTCCAGACAAAGTGGACTTGTCTCAGACTCTGAGGTTTGAACTGTGAATGAACTCTGTTTTCATTTGGCAAATTATAAGAAAGTCGAGAAGATCTGAGGTAGCTATGGGTGAAGCTGTAGGTGTAGCTGTAGGTGTAGGTGTAGGTGTAGGTAACAGGTGATGAGGAACTTTCCGACTGTTGCACCGCTTGTTGCCGTGACGATGCCCGTCCTCTCTCTCCAGCTCTCCTACGGTCCTTCTGTGGCTGCAGACCTTGAACTCATTTTCTGATCTGCCCAAAAACCTCATGACCAGATCTGTGTTGGTGTCATGTGACCTTCTGCATGGTCACTGCTCCGTGCTCAGTGGGCACATGACCCCACCACTGTGACTTGATTAGAGCTGAAGTTGTCTGGGTCACTTTCACTTCTGTCCAGTTAAAGACTTTTAATGAAGTATTTATCTGGACTGTACCAGAGGACTGTACCAGGTGTCAACGCTTTACCAACACATGATAAAGCGGCTAATATTACTGACAAATGTCACTAAAAAGCTGTAACAAAGTTATCTGTCCTCTGTTTACAATTTTTTTCCCTAACCCTGGTCCAGGCTGGACACTGGTCCTACATGAACCCTGGTCCAGGTGGAACCCTGGACCAGGGTGGACATGAACATGAACCCTGGTCCAGGCTGGACCCTGGTCCAGGTCCTGACCTAACTCTCTGTGTGGTGAACGTTGTCACCCGTCAGTGGTTGTAGTCCAGAGTCCGTGTCCGGTGTGTTTTCCTCATCAGGTTCATAGCTGGTCTGGGCCGATGATGTCATAGACATGTGGGCTGCTAGTCTTTACATTCAGCCCATGTCGCAGTAGTCCAGGCTGGGGTGGGTCCTCAGATGGTGGGTCCTCAGATGTTGGGGTACAGGTCTCGGGTTCATCTGCCGTTCAGTAGTCGACCAGGAAGTCCTAAACTGTAATTCATTTTTTAGCCACATGTCAAAAACACATTTTTAGCTAGTTTCATTATTTGCCAGTTCTACAGTTTGTCCACTGGGGGCGCATCTTTGATAAGTTTAATACGCTGTGTTGTTACTACAGTTTTATTATAATTGGAGTGGTCAGCCAGCCCCAGTCTCTGGGTTAGACTGCCCTCATGAAGACCACAGGTTGGTGTGGGTCATGAGAATGTGTTATAGTTGTAGTGTCGACCAGCAGGGGGCAATCACACCCCAAACATTAGTCTAACCAGGGCATTTGGGCAGCAGACAGTTACTGACTGGACTGGACTGTACCTGCCTTCACTCTTCATCACAGACAGCTGCTGGTGGTCTTCATCAGGTGGTGGTCTTCATCAGGTGGTGGTCTTCATCAGGTGGTGGTCTTCATCAGGTGGTGGTCTACATCAGGTGGTGGTCTACATCAGGCTGAAGTTGTTTCTGTCTTTAAAACAACAAACCCAAAAGGCATTTGTTTGTAATATGGAAGTTTCTGCCAGGCGGGGGGTGGTGGTGGTGGTGGTGGTGGTGGGGGGGGATGTGATGTTGTTCTTCTGATCATGTGTGCATGAAGAAGGGGAAGTGCAGAGACAAACAGCTGCAGTCCATCCCCACTCCCTCCCATCCGTCCAGACCAGAGTTTCATTGGCTGCTGCTCAGACAGAGGTTGGTGACGCTGCAGCAGGGACACAGGCTCTCTCTACCACCCCTCTCTCTCTCTCTCTCTCTCTCTGTCTCACTCCTGCCGTCTACAAATAAAGTGTGGGTGTATTTATAGTCGGTGGTGTCACCCAGTGGACAGGGGATTACCTCGGCCACCGTGAACGGACTGTTTTCCTGGTGACTCACAGCCACAGCAGAGGTTAACCATCATTTAACTCTGGAGGTAGTTTGTTGTTGTTGTTGTTGTTGTTGTTGTTGTTGTTGTTGTTGTTGTTGTTTCTGTGTGAGTGATCAGTGACTCACCCCTGCTGCTGTGGGGGAGACTGACTGTTGTGTGTTCACCTGAGGCTGGGAGCACGCTCTGTGTGATCATCACCAGGTCTGACTTCCTGTGAACAGAACTGGTTCATTTTGTTCTGACCTCTGACCTCCGGAGACCAGAACTCTGTAGGAGCTGGTCCACAACCGTCAGCTGACGTGACACCTTCATCAGTACCGTTTCTGGTGGAGGTTCTCCTGCCGCTGCGATGAGACGGTGACCTCAGTTGACCTGAGTTGACCTCAGTTGACCTGGAGTCTTTGACTGTCTGAAGTTACACACACCTCAACTCCTGTCTCCATGTCTCTGCAGATACCTGGAGAAATATGAAAAAGTCCACCACTTTGGCGAAGACGAGGACGAGTCACAGCCAGGGAACCCCAAGGCCTCGCTTCCAATCGGTGCAATTCCTAATTCTTACAACTACCAGCAACATGTTGTATCAGGGACGGAGCGTCCACGTCCACGTCCACGTCCACGCACCAGGGGTTTATGATGAACATCCCTCATGTAAATGAAGAGTGGCAACAGTGACGTCGCCACCTAGGGCTGTATCAGTGCCATCACAGACGGAGTGGTCTGTTGTTGATAGTAATGTAGAAGAGACATCATGACACAGTGGACTCTGTCCACAACAACACACGAGACTCCATTGAATTTTCCCCAGAAATACCCCCCCCCCCCCCCCCCCCCCCCCCATGTAAACATCAAAAACATGGATATAAACGAATGTAGTCATGAGGCACTGAAATGAAAATGAGAAACCAAGGACGAAAACTGAAACACAGAAAGAAATGATTCTGTCAGTTTTCAGTCCCATGTCACTGATGACTCTGACTGTGAACTGGACCTCAGGAAAATCAAGCGCTCTGATTGGAGGAATTAATAACGAATAATGAATTGTCAAATGTCGAGCAGAGAAATCAAATCAACTGATGGTCGGACAGGAAGTCAGAACAGGACGGTCTCCCTGTTGTTATTGTTAGAGGAACTCACAGATCATATGGGACAACCAGGGTCCCCGCCCCTCATCTGAACTCATTTCTCATTTTGTCCTTTTTTTTTTCCAGACTATCTTCGCCAAAGCTACGGTCTGTCCACGGACTTCGTCCCACCGTGCGATTATAACAAACTGGTGCTGTCTCTCCTCTCTGGTCTACCAAACGAGGTGGACTTTGCGGTGAATGTTTGCACTCTGCTGTCCAACGAGAGCAAGCACGCCATGCAGTTGGACAAGGACACCAAACTGATCACGCTGCTGTTGGCCCACGCCGGCGTCTTTGACGACTGTACGTCCGACACTCTCTGACCGTCTGAACCATCACGTCATAAGATCTGTAGAAAAACCAAAATACAAAAACCCAGTATCATCCTGAGGTTTTTGTCTTCAGCTGTCAGTGGACAGTGGACATGTCTCTAACACTGTCTCTGTGTCCACAGCTCTGGGCAGCTTCTCCACGGTGTTTGGACCAGACTGGAAGGAGAAAACCTCCAGGGACTTCGTCAGGGTAACCACAAGTCTTTAAACCTGAATCTGTCCACTCTGTCCTCTGACTCTGTCCTCTGACTCTGTCCTCTGACTCTGTCCTCTGACTCTGTCGTCTTAACCATCAGTCAGTACTGTAGTCATTCTGTCTTTTTAATGCTCTTCTCCCCCCTTCCTGTCCCCCCCCCCACAGTTCTGGAAGGAGGTGGTGGAAGACACTGAAGTCAGGGAGCTGATCTGGGACAAGAGCACCTCAACACCAGGTAACAGAGGCAGCAGCAGGGTTCACGCTCCACATGTTGAACATCACTGGCTGATTGACCTGCCTTCTACAAGATGAAACCACATTTAACCTTTGACCTTTAGGTCTGCATGTTTGATGCTTCTGCAGATCAGCAGTCGACTTAAAAACCATTTGATTTTGTCAGCCGTTAACGACGGTCTTAAACTGAGCTGTGGTGAAAACTCACGTACTCCTGTACTCCTGTACTCCTGTACACACGTACTCCTGTACTCGTGTACTCACGTACTCCTGTACTCCTGTACTCACGTACTCCCGTACTCTTGTACTCCTGTGCTCCTGTACTCCTGTACTCGTGTACTCCTGTACTCCTGTACTCCTGTGCTCCTGTACTCGTGTACTCGTGTACTCACCACTTCTGTCTGTCTGTAGACTGCACGTCATGTGAGCACCGCTGGCACAGCCTCTTCCACCCGCCCCGGACCCCCGGCATCAGTGACGTGGAGGCTCAGCGGGTGCTGCAGATTGCCGTCATCCTGCGGAATCTCTCCTTCGAGGAGGCTAACGTGAAGCTACTGGCAGCCAACCGAACGTGCCTGCGCTTTCTCCTGCTCTGTGCCCACTGTAACCTCATCTCACTGCGACAGCTCGGCCTGGACACTCTGGGCAACGTAGCTGCTGAGGTAGGTGTGGGCGTGGCCCGACACCGGCCTGCTCTAGAGCGCCACCTATTTATCACCGTCTTGGAAATGTGCGATGTGACATGGAGATGATGACGTTGTCATCGTGTCCCCGCAGCTCCAGCTGGATCCTGTCGACTTCCGCACGACTCATCTGATTTTTCACACCATCACCAAATGCTTGATGTCCAGGGACCGGTTCCTCAAAATAAGAGGTGTGTGCGTGTGCGTGTGTGTGTGTGCGTGCACCTTCACATTCCTGGCTGTAAACATTTGGTGTTTTTGGTTGTTTTTTTTTTTTAGCCATGGAGATCCTGGGAAACCTCAGCAAGGTGGAGGACAACGGCGTGTTGATCTGTGAGTACGTGGACCAGGACTCGTACAGGGAGGTGATGATGCTCCTCACTCTGCCCGACCTCATGATCCTCATGGCCTCACTGGAGGTGCTCTACCTGTTGGCTCAGCTCGGAGAGATCACCTGCAGCAAGATCGCCTCAGTCAACCACAGCATAGGTAACGGGAGCACGTCAGTGCCTGAACTACTCTGTGGACCGCGCCCCTCATCTTTCTCCCCTCTCTCTGCTCAGACTTGTTAGTCCGACTAGTATCAGTTGACCTTCACACCTTTGGACCTGACGCCCTGACCGCCGTGAGGTTAATTGAACACCAGGCCAGCGCGGACCAGGCCACTGAGGTTCGACCACAGCTGGTTGAGCAGGTACCAGCTGCAGTCCAGGGGACGCCAGCACCAGGTGAGTGTGTCTACACTGTGTCAGTCTGTGATTGGTTTGTTGTCAACTCGTTGGGATTTGAGAAAATATCAGTGATCATGAAACTGTGTTGATGTTTTTAATGAACTAATGACAGAATGTTAATTAACCAGCCGTCGATGGTTAGTCTTTGAGTCAGTTGTTCAACAGATCAGATGTATTTATTCGAGCCTTCCTTGGTGTGAAACTAAATATAAACTTTATGTCATGTCTCTTCTTCTGTCTTCTCAGTCTCGAGGGTCTCCGTACCATCAAGTCAACCTCCACCTGGTATCATTGAACTCGATGGGGAAAAATTCACACTGCAATGGTAACGTGGTCGTCAGCGACGTCTCACTGGTCACAGTTGAACTGATACTGACGTCTGTGCTGCTGTCGTCCCACAGGCTGAACGCACACTTTGAGCCACACTCGGAGGGTTCGGTGTCTCGGTCCGAGGTCTACTCCGAGTATCTGACCACCTGCAGCAAAATGGGACGAAGCAACATCTTAAACGCCAACGGCTTCCTCAAGTGTCTGCGGTGAGAGCTAACGGAGCTAACTGGGCTAACGAATCCTCAAGTGTCTGCGGTGAGAGCTAACTGAGCTAACTGGGCTAACTGGGCTAACCGTTAGCATTGTCTCTGTGACTTTACATCAGTTCATTTCTTTCTGTTGATCTAATGGTCTGTGTTTATACAAATATAAATACATAAAATAAATCACTAAAAAATACACAACTCCAAATATGGTAAGTTTGGGTGTATCCCCGCCCACTCACCAAGGTGCTCTGCCCCCACAGGACTGTGTTCCCAAACCACACGATGCGGCGGCAGGAGGAGTCCAAGACCAACGGTCAAGTTCTCATCCTCCTGGTCGGACTCAGGCGGAGGTCCATTCCTCTGCCCGTCCAGCTGTACTACCAGCAGAGTCAGCCTCAGCAGCAGAACTCGGCAGCAGCTCCTTCACCTCCGGCTGCTCGGCATGACACACCAGGAGACCCCCAGGGCCCCCCTCCAGGTACATGTTCAGAACTGCAGTGTTTACTGGACGTGAACTGTGTGGTTCAAACCGCGGTCTCTTTGTTTTTTTTTGTCCGTCCACCCAGGCCTGCCTCCGGGGCACTCCGCTCCTGGACCTCTGACGGTCCGGGCTCTGGTACCCAGCCACAGCACCGGCGGTTCCACTCCTCCCCCGGCACTGACCGCGCAGGAGCCCCCCCACACAAGCCAACCTCCCGTCTGTCGTTCCCCCCTGCCCCCGCAGGTGCCTGCACAGCTGACAGCCAATCCTGTGGCAGCAGGAGCTCAGCAGCAGCAGAGACCTGGTCCGTTTGTCCAGGGTCCAGCTGGGGCCTCGGCCTCCCAGAACCAAAGCCCTCAGATCCTGGCCCTGGCCCCTGGAACTCTCCCACAACACTCCCCCGTCGCCTCGGCAGGGACGCCCCTCACTCTTTTTCAACAGGTACCGCAGGGCCACACCCTCACGGCCAGGGTTCACAGTGTCTGCCCCTCCATTACCCAGCATCCTCCCCTGTCTGGGCCTCAGGGTGGACCCCCCCAGATGGAGACTCAGTGTGCCCCCCCCTGCTCCTCGCCGTCGGTCCAGGTGGGGGTGGGTCAGGCGTTGAACGTGTCCAACTCCCAGGGGTGTCGCGTCACCTTTCAAAACATTGCCCCCAAACCTGCGCCCAACCAGTCGTGTGCATCAGCAACCACGATAGCAGCCACTCAGCCTCAGAGCGTGGTGATCGTGGGCCCCGCCCCCGGCCCCGGCCCCCAGCAGAGTCCAGCCTACCCCCCTGCCATACACCAAATAGTTCTCACTAACCCTTCCTCCATCCCCGGAGCCCCCACCATTCAAATAGCAGGTCATCCAGCGGCCTCTTCCAACCCCTGCACACCCCCCTCCTCCCAGTCCAGTCCAACGGTCAGCCACGCGCTGTCAATGAAACGGCATCAGCAACAACAGCCCCCCCTCCAAATCATTTCCCCGGCCCCCCCCTCACAACCTACCTCCGAGTCCAGCTTGATCAAACAGCTGCTGCTTCCAAAGCGAGGACCTTCGACCCCAGGTGGGAAGCTGATCCTTCCTGCTCCACAGGTGCCTCCACCCAACAGCCCACAGGTCATCTACCAGGCGGGCTACAGCACACAGAACCCCTCCCCCCAACCTCAGCAGCTCAACGTCCAGCTGGTGCCTGGCAAACTTCCTGCTGCTGGAGCTCCCGCCCTGCAGACGGTCCAGATCCTGCCGACGCAGCTCATTTCCACGGGCAGCCCGGGGACGGCCGCCATCATCCAAGGATCCGCCGCAGCCGGACAGGTCACCTTCACCGTGGTCCCGAGCGCCGGCTTCACCTCCTCGGCCGCTGCCGCCGTGGCTGCCGTCAGCCAGGGAGCCGTGGCCCCCGTCGTCCCCGGAATGATGCCCCATCACGCCCCCGCCACCCCTCCACCCTCGTCACCGCTGCCCTCCCCACTGAGAGGAGACAAGATCATCTGTCAGAAGGAGGAGGAGGCCAAAGACGCCACAGGACTGCACATCCACGAGAGGAAGATCGAGGTCATGGAGAACTCCTCTTTAGCAGGAGACGCCTCCAACGGTAAGACCAGCAACGGCGACCTGGTGGGCGGGGCCAAGCTGCTGAATGGTCAGAAGTGCATGGAGTCTAATCTACCTCCATACCACTCAGGGAACAGCCAGGGGGCGCTCAATGGCCCAGCTACAGAGAGTCACCCTGCTAATGGGAAGCAGGCCCTCTCCCCAGGCCCAAACCCCCCCCTGGAGGAGGACCCCGACCACAGAAAGACTCTGGTCAACGGGGTGTGTGACCTGGACCGGGTCGACGGCAGTGGTACCTTCAACAAAAACATTCCAAATCACATTGCTTCCAAACAGTACTTGGGGAACGGGGAGGTAGGACCTGAACAGAATCACAGCACTGACCTCCCCCCCCCCAGTCCTCCACACCCCCAGCAGGACACTGCCAAATCCCAGCAGGCCGAGCGCCTGGCCAACGGACCCCAGGCTGTAGGCAACAGGCTTCCCTCAGAAAAAAACAACGGACCTTTAGGACCGGGCCACGCTGCGCTCAGACAGCAGCTGCTCCCCAGCGCCCCCCTCCCCGCTACTGTTACCTCTCAGAGACCGGCCAACGGGGTGGCCTCGGACGCACGGGGGCTGAAGAGGCCGGCCGACAACGAGGACCGCGGCGTGGCGTCGTCGGCGTCGGGGATCCCCAACAAAGTGGGCGTGCGGATCATCACCATCAGCGACCCCAACAACGCGGGCAGCAGCGCCACCATGGTGGCAGTGCCGGCCGGTACAGACCCAAGCACAGTAGCCAAAGTAGCAATAGAGAACGCCACTCAGCAGAGGAACTGCTCCCCCGCAGAGGCAGCTAGCTCCACGGTGAGTCACTTCACGTCCACCAGGGACAGACTAGAGCCGGTGTGGGTACGAAGTGATGCATGTTAACCCTGATACACGGGGTGGAGGGTTCGTTCCCTCAGGGGGCGCTGTTGAGTTGTAGTGATTATCCTCCTCTGTTAACGACTGTCACTGGTGACCAATGGTCACTGGTCATTGGTCACTACACTGCTGATGTCACTCCTGCGTATGTTGTTCAGTTACAGCTAACAGTGTCAGTGGTCAAGAACCTGTTGATACGTGTCACGACACAGAGGCACCGAAGAACCTGTTGATACGTGTCACGACACCGATGTGATGTGATGTGTATATATATATATGACGATATATTGAGTGTTAATCTTGATACAGTATATGATCTTTAATATAATGCTAGCTGGCTATTAGCATTTTATCCTTGGGTTGCTGTCGGTGTAATAATGCTAGCTGGCTATTAGCATTTTAGCCTTGGGTTGCTGTCATGTAGTTGTAGTTTAACGGTCGGTGTTGTTGGTGTTGTAGTCTGGTGTTGTAGTCTGACAGTCGGTGTTGTTGGAGTCTGACGGTCGGGGTTGTTGTAGTTTGACAGTCGTTGTTGTTGTAGTCTGACAGTTGGTGTTGTTGTAGTCTTGCGGTCGGTGTTGTTGGTGTTGTAGTCTGACAGGCGGTGTTGTTGTAGTTTGACAGTCGGTGGTGTTGTAGTCTGACAGGCGGTGTTGTTGTAGTCTGACAGTCGGTGTCGACGGTGTTGTTGTAGTCAATGTGGAGGTTTAAGAAGGTGAGACCAGTCCAGACCATGTGGTCCTCACTGATACCCACCTCCTACAGAGAACAGGCTGAGAGAACAACTCCTGTCAGCAGAAGGACATGGGTTACATCTCAGCCAACATGTTGACCATGTGACAGGTCCTTCAGTGGGCGGGGTGGAGGGGGGGGTG